GAATTCCTAAAGATAAGAGATAGATTATGTAGGCATGGAAGGAATGAATTTTGTTTCCTTTCATGATTTTAGAAACTTTTTTTTTTTGTTATTTGCATTTTTTGCTCCTTCCTTTTGGTTGGTTAGGAATAATCAAATTGATTTTTGTCTTAGGTTCCATGATGTCTAGTTTTATTTATTGTTTTCTGTTTTGTTTAATCTCCCTCAAACCCCAGAAATTTAGCTTGCATTCTTGACCACTGACCTTCATGAGGAAAAGAAGAAAAGAAAGCACCAGAAGGCAAAAGGAGATTTATTACTTCTCACAAATAGAAATATTGCTTTCATTAGTAAAATTTCCCTTTTTGTTTCTCTTTTTCTTTCCATATTCCTTCACACTGTTCTCCTTAGCCTGAAGACTACAACTGCAAAAAATTAAAGAACAAATAAACCCTCTCCAAGAAAGTTTCTGTCTTCTCTTAACACACCCTTTAGCATTCTCACCTCTCTGAAAGCCTCGACTGAAGATCATATAGCAGCACCACCTCAAAAATTCCTCCGTTGAGTGTCCATCTTCTTTTCCACAGAGAAATTCTAATGCATAGGTTATCCTGAATTCCATCTACCCATCTGCTCTTCACTTACTGGAGTGAGAGGATACTCAACAATAGCCATAGTAAGAACAGGAGGATGAATGAGACTCCTTCAAAGAACATCACCTCTTTGTGCAGCTACACAACTGTGCTCATAATATCACTTATCTTTTTTATTCGTATCTTGAAAAAATACCAAAAGAAACAAGAACAAGAAACCCCCAAACAAAACCAAAGAAAAGCCAAACTCAAAATTAAACACCCTCCTCCCCCATATTTTCGGTTGGTTAGATTTCATAATGTCTCTTTTTTTTAATATTTTTCTGAAATCTCCCGCTATTAAAAATTTAATATAAATTCATTAAGTGATCAGAAAAGCAGTCAGAAAAGTATGACTTTTCTAAAATGTTGAAGAGCAACTAATCTACATATGTATATAATCTGACATTTATTTTGAAAACCAGCAGATTGGCCCAGATAATAATAAAAAAAAACCTTGATCATTTTTGCATCAAACTATTTATTAATTTACATATGTACAATGTTAATGTCTAAATTCTTCTAATAATATGAATGTCCTTCTTTAGGACATATGCAATGTAGCACTTCAGAAGTAAATTTGAAAGAACACAGGGCCTATTGTTATTAGTTTCACACCTGTACACTTATACATTTTGGTTATTCATCTCCACATTTTCATAAAATAGTCCCAGGAGAGTTATATAATAACACTTAACTTTTATAGTGTTAGATAAGCAAACAAACAAAAAAGAGAAGTAACCTTGCAAATAACCCCTTACACAGTGAAATCTTAATAACTGAATAACCAGGTATCATTTTAAATTAATTACTAGTTTGTATAATTTATGAAACCAAAGCTTCACAGTAGTGTCTTTAAAACAACTTTTTAAAATCTGAACTGCTTTTGTTTCCTTCTAAACAAGATACATATCATAGAAAAATAAAATACTTCCATCATACGAGCAACAGACAGATTTGAAATATAAACTGGAATTCATATTCAAGGTTAGTTTTAGATTGACTATTGGAAATAATTTCATAAACCTAACAAATATGCTTAACAATAATTGCAGTCCATGTTACCTCTAAAAAATGCTCTCTGCTTGTTGAGCAGCATGAAACATGACATTACTTTTCCATTTGACAGAAAAATATCATGTAAAACATTTTTCCATCATACGTGTTTCAGATTCTAACATAAGGAAAAAGGAAGCCAAAGTCAGGAGCACATGGGCAAAACGATTAGATATTTACAAAGTCTGGGCACATGGCCCATTTTTTTTTCCCATATCAAGAAGAAAAAGAACAACCATTCATTTTAGTCCTGCATAGGACTGAATGTTTGTCAATTCTGCAACTGTCTGCTATTTTTGATAGCTGTTTCTACTGCAAACAAAAAGCATGAGTTGAGATTTTTGAAAGAATCAAAAGATTTTCCTAAAAAGGAAAATCTTTACTTTGGAGGGGAGATATTGAGATTTAAGTTTTGTACTTCTCATTTAATACTTTTCCATCAATATCAGGCAATCAGAATTATTTTTCAAAAAATTACTTTAGCACTTACTCTAAATCATCAAAAACTGTGTAATGTGTTTTTTGTAAGAGATAGCCAACTCTAGTTCCAGTATTTTTTACTAGTGTATATCAAGTCATAAGAAGAAAAAAATTGAGGTTGTTGCCAACTTTTTTCACACTCCTTTGAGATTAATACTGTAAATGGCTTCCAATTGAAGCATCTGTTTTCATCTGCAAACCACTCTAATTTGGAATGTAAGTCTGAAGGAAAAAAATCTAACTATACAGTTTATTATTAATGTATGAAAACTATCAGTGATTGATAAAATGGGAAAATACAGCTTCCTACCATCTATTCCTAAATCAAAAAGCTTACTTTCCTGTCATTTGCAATTTCAGAATTAGTCTGCATAGAACAGCAACTAGCTTATTAAAAGCATGTATGTTGAATGTTTTGCTGCCCTCACCAGGACATCATATAATTTTGCATTGTATTTGGCAAACTCCTAGTTAAATGGACTGAGTCACATTCCTTGCACTCGATCAGCTATAATGAACAGCTCAGTAATTAATGTCACAGGATATACATACAACTGCTATCAGCTCAAATTCTTTTAGCAGAAAATAGGAGAGGTCTAGTTGATTGAAGACCTAGAAAAATAAACCAAACTTTGTGAAAATGTGTAAAGCAGGTATTTTAAATCTATTGATGCAGAATCAGAAAGAAGTGATCATTCATTGACTAAAACAGTAAATGTATTAACAAGCTTTCCTTGCACAAATACTACTATCTGCAAAAGATCCGGATGCAAAACTCACTTTTTAACCTCAATGTTTACATCTGTCATCATTCTCTAAATAGGAGAAGAAAACATCAGCTTGTTAGCAAAAAAATGTTCAGCTGGTGGCAGAAGCATATCTCTAATCAAAGCAGAGGAAAAAGTTCATTGCTGTTAAGACAACACTTTAGAGAATTTAAAATACATTACTATAATATTGCTTGTGACAATGAATTATATAGACATTGGCATAAAATACTATTTGCAGTTAATTTTTACCTGTAATATTTTCTTCAAGTTCATGTATTTTACAAATTTCACTGACTGACAAACCATTGTTTCTGTTTTAAGATGGCTAGTGAATCTTTTTGGTATTTCTTGACCACTGAATTACCTCATATTTAATGTGATAGAAAAATTTAGGCAAACAAATTATTATTAGTTACAAACTAATTTTAAAAAATTGTTCACTGAAATCCAGATTCTCTCTATAAGAAATTTTGGGTTTGTTTACACAGTTTACAAAACAACAATCTTAAAATGACAGTGGTTTAGGAATAAATATTTTAGCCGCAGTTTGAAATACAAACGAGATAAAAGCAAATACATTTCTCTAGGTAGACCATTGATTATTAACAGATAACATGAAGTTCAGAAGTGAGTGAGAAATATTCTTTCCTTGACTTTTTCCCTTGCATGTGAATTGACAGATTATCTAACAAACTAGCTCCCTAGTCTGAGAAAGTGGGAAGAAGACTTCAAGGTGCACCAGGCATCATATTTGACCCACAGTAGATACAAACTGAAATAAATGTTCTAATATCAGATGGATCAGCCTCCAAAATTTTTCATTGCATTTGGTCTAGATATAAGTAAACTAGAAGAAATAGGAAAAGACTTTATAATAATTTTGCTATAACTGTATAGCATGCAAAAAAAAAAAAAAAAAAAGAATAAAAAGGTGAAGATTAAATCCTCAGATATCTCTGAACAGCTAACTGGTTAAAGATAGAACATCTTTTCCATCCAAGTGTGTCTCCAAGAAGCTTATGTAGTGGAAAAGCTATCTTTGGCATTGCTCCTTCCAGACTTCACACTACACTAATATTTCACCATCTAAGAAATCTGTTTCCAATCTAGGACAACAAAAAGACTCTTTGTCTTTGGACGTGTTACAAACAGCCTCCAGAATGGAGAACCCCAGATTTTGTCAGTCTCTGGGTCTAGTTCTGACTTTTAAAGAATCACAAGGGTTGTACACAGTAACTTTGAATAAGCTGCCTGAACAGATTAAGGGCAGTAAAAGTCATCATACAGAAGCTCTAAATCAGCAAAAATAGTTCCCTTACTTTCACCTGTCTACCTAGAGTAGAGGGTCATCTAGAAGAGAGAATGAACATCTGATGCATGAACACTGTCTAATCCTTGAAAGGAAAGGTTAGAATTCTTTCCTAATTCATCCTTCAAATTTGCATTAGGACTGGGACAAAAAAATATGAGGGATAACTTGTGGCTTTCTTTCTTTCTCCTTGTCTGCCTTCAGTTATTCTGTGGAGAACAAACTTTTATTAGTCTTCCCCAGCTGAGCTGTGGTTTCAATGGAGTTTCCACAAGCTGACTTATAAAAAATACTAGAATAACCAGAATGATTTTTTTTTTTCTTTCTTTCTCCCCTCCCTACCCCTCAGTGTAATTTATCAGCAGTGCTGTAGTAAGGGAGAACCTGTTACAGCATGGGTACTTCTGGAAATCCAGCAGAACTGTTGAAAAACATTTGGAGAAGCCCAAGTCCCTCCCCACCTTTCCCAGCTCATTTGAATAGCTGGATAGAATAAAATATTTTGCTTAAAGATTGCAAAACAAACTATAGTTCTCAGGAAATGTGGTCAAATTAGGCACATTTACTTTGGGTTTTTTTTCAGTTTAACCGGATTGACTTCAAGGGCCATAAGCAGAAGCCAGGATTCAGGCTGGGAATTTCATTGCCCTACATACATATATATATGCATATATATACACATGAAATGAAGTCCAAAAACATCCTGCTTTGCTTGTTTCCTTTGTTTGTTTCTTTTCTTAGTTTATTTCACCTTGTCTACTTCTTTTTACTTAGCCATCATAGGATTTGCAAGTCTGCCTCTGGAGGATATTCTTCTAGCAATAGCATCTGGGCTTTATGGTGAGTTCCACAGCCATTTGCACAGACTTTCTTTACTTGCCTCTGGCTCTGCCATCCACTGTCTAATCTGCTTTTTGTTTCCTGTCTTCAGATATTTTCTTCCAAGTTTTAAGATGAATACAATGAGAAGTGTACTTTCTAGCCAAATACATTGCATACATTGTTTTGTAACTATTTTTCTGGTTTGGTATTTTCATTTCAGTTTTATATATTTTAATTTTGTTTGTTCCTGTTGTTATTGTTTGTGGCTTTTTTGTGGGTTGTTGGGGGGGGTGTTCTTTGTTGGTTTGTTTTTTGTTTGTTTAGTTTTTCTTTTTCTCCTGTTACCTAATATCTGCAACATTGTGTCGCTATATCACTTCTAAAAAGGTGTAGAATACTGTACACTGGTATCTTCTACTGGCCAGCCTGGATCAACATAATGTTTAAGAACAGGGACTTCCTTGCACTGTGTTTTTCCTTCAGCCTCAGGGACCTACTTTAAAAAGTGACAAGAAATGCAGTAATACTAATTCAAACACTTACATGGCTATGACTTTCTCGCTGGCAGTGAAACAAGAGTGACAGTCAGTGTTAATGTCCAGTAAAATTGAAAGCTGTGCAGCAAAAATTGACACCTGACATTTCAAATTGGATAGAAACACATCAGATGATCCTGCAATGATCAGAAGGCAAATGTGCTTGTAACCAGTGACCTGGAATTTTCTCTTGTTGATCATGTAGACATGAAAAAAAAAAAAAGTTCTATTTTATTTACCGTTGATTAACATTCCTGAAATGCTTCTTATGGTTCATGATTAAACTATTGAGCTCTCATGCTCCTGTTAAGTAACATAATGAGGGGATTTCTGAGCACATAACAGCATAAGAAGTGTATTTGACTATAAAAGTAAAAAATACACATCCCAGGACAATTTTTCCTCCCTATATATTATGATATTATTATATGTTATCGTAACATTAGCTAGGAGTAGCAATTTGGTAATTTCTCCATAATATGTTTGTGCTTCTTTTTGCCTTGCCATTTATTACTTAAAAAAAATATAAAAAAATTAAAAAAAACGTTTACCATGTTAGCTGAGCTTAAAAACATCTTGCCCATAAAAAAGTTATATTAACTGTACTCTATAGATTTTTGCTGCACTAGTGTTGTCTTTGAATATGTGATAGTACATCTGGAAATTCTACCAGCAATCCAAAGACAAGTTAATGCTTCTAAATGGGTTCCATTTCCTACTCATTGGATAGAAAGAGCCTGGTAAGATTTAGGTATCAAAATTTAGCTGCTGTAACTTCTAAGTGTTAGATACATGGCCACCAAAGTTGAAACCAGAGCCATATATATGGTGTACTCATGGTATATATATTATACATGCTTTATGATACATACAGATAGTTACTCTGAGTGGTGCCCTTAAGAAAGAGATTTTAGACTGTGTAATATTGTCAGTGTTTTAAAATAAATACTGTAACTGGAAATATTCCTGAAATTAGGACACTTGGTGTAAAGCTGCTGAAGAACTTGCTAGGAGATGTTGAAAAATTTCCTTCATTTGTCCTTCAAAGATTAGCTTATCCCTTTAGGATAGATTTATTCCACTTATTAATTAACTCATTTATTCACTTAGTTATTTGAAGGATCTCTTAGTAGGGAGTAGAAAAAAAAAATAATACAGGTTTGCTCTTTTTAGATACAACTTAGGGCAACGACACAGGCAGTTAGTGACCCAGTAGTGTGTTCTGTACTCTGTAGAAAAGAATATCAACCAGCATGCATCTGTCATCTGAAAAGTTCACAGGGCTACAATGAGCACATATTATATACTGCACAATGCCAAATGTAAGCTCTTTTCTCTGCTCCCAAGAATGGTTTAGGTACTCTTTTGTGAAATGGAGATGGGATTAAAAACATGAAAGCTTCTTTTGACACAGTGACTGAATGCCAGGACTTCTACTTCCAGACTACTGAAACATGCTCAGATGTCTGTTTTCGGCTCATGACAAGGACTACATGCAGAAGTTAGGAAACCATAAAATTATATGGCACATGAATATGGGGTTTTCAGACTGCAGTTTATATATACCACCATGATGTTTCTGAAACATGAGTTCTTGGTAAAGATATTTTCTGTGCATTGATTTAAAATGTATATTTTTCTTTTTCTCTTCTTTTTAATAATAAAGGCCAAATTTAGTAATAAAACACAAATCTTGTTAAACAGTTCACCGCTTCATTAGTTGTATAGGAAACATTTTCTTTCTATTTTCTCTGAAGGTAAATTATTGTTTGTGAGTGAATTTAAGAATGAGAGGAAAGTCAAAGTAGAGAATAAGGTGAAATGACAGAAAATATAATAGAAGACAATACAATGTAGTAAACTACAAAGAAAAGCTTTTGCTTGTGTAGAAACTGCACAAGTGTTCTAGGGAACATCACATTTTCTCATCAGCTTGTTTCCAGCCCTCTAGACACCAAAATGGTTCTGATGATCCTCCCACTCAAGCACATTAGTCAGTGTCCCTATTATCTGATGCTAATCTTTTGTGCCTAACCTTTTGTGCTTCAACAAGTGTCAGGATTTAATTGTCTGGTTGTGTGCCACTTCAGACGCCCTACATCTGTAGGAGGTTGGCAGTTTTGACACAATCTTCACAGAGGCCTGAAAACATTAAGCAACAGAAAGCAGGAAGCAGTGCAAGATTTTGTGTTACTTGTGTATGGGCCACACTTGGCCCTAGCCCACTCACACAGAATATAAATCATCCAAGATGACAAGTACTGGAAAAGACTATCTTGAGGTCTTCAGCTATTTTCAGATACCTTTAGCTCTTCCTTAATATAGAGACATTCTGTGAATAAGGCAGTTCTTTGCCAAGACTACTTTTGCTTTATTACCTTATTACGCTGTGAGAAATCAAAACAGAATGCTGCTATGCCCAAAGTCTTAATAGTGATGGGAGGTGCATTTATAAACACCTAATAAATAAGAGGTGCAGATAATGAATTCAGGGCCATATCCCAAACTGTGACTCAGATAAAATGGGTTAGATTGCATCCTATGTCACTAGATATGTAAAGACCAACTGAAATTTTGATAATGAATTGGACTCAATTATTTTGTTCTTCTGATTACAAGCAATATGAACAGTGCTTTTAAAAATAGTGATACATGGACCTGTAAAGGCTTATGAAGTGTAAAAAAGGTATCTATGAAAGACTAATAAGAAAAACAATACAGTAGTTCAACTGGCAATTGGGTTAACTTTTTTATGAAGGGTCATGTCAAAATTCTACACAGAAGCAGCTCTGCAGTGTTTAACATCTTGCTTTGTGGAGGCGGCTGAGGTTTTTGGGCTGGAAGTCAGCTTGAAGAAGACAGTAGTCCTCTACCAACCTGCACCGCAAGAAGATTATCGCCATCCCCATATTACCATCGGCGAGTCAGAGCTTAAGACAGTTCAGCAGTTCAGCTATCTGGGAAGCATCATTTCCTCGGATGCCACGATCGACAAAGAGATAGACAACAGAATAGCAAAGGCATATAGAGCCTTTGGAAAACTCCATAAAAGAGTCTGGTGTAATAAACACCTGAAGAAAAGTACAAAGATCAGTGTCTACAGAGCCATTGTATTGTCTACTCTTTTATATGGGTCTGAATCATGGGTCATCTACCGTCATCACCTGCGACTCCTGGAACGCTTTCATCACCGCTGCCTCCGTACAATTCTAAACATCCATTGGACTGACTATGTGTCTAATGTCACTGTCCTCGAACAGGCAGGGGTCACCAGCATCGAGGCCACATTGCTGAAACTGCAACTGCGCTGGGCAGGGCACGTCTCTAGGATGAAGGATCACCGCCTCCCCAAGATCGTGTTTTACGGTGAACTTGCCACCGGTAGCCGCAAGAGAGGTGCCCCAAAGAAGAGATACAAGGACTCCCTGAAACAATGCCTTAGCCTTGGCCATATTGACTACCATCAGTGGTCCACCTTGGCCTCCAATCGGGAGACCTGGAGGCACACCATACATAATGCCGCTGACTCCTTTGAGAGTTCACGAAGAACTAGTCTCGAGGAGAAAAGACAACGCAGGAAGAATCGTGTCCCACCTGTTCCACCCAAGGAGACCTTCTGCTGTGCTTTTTGTAGCCGGATTTGCCTATCCCACATTGGCCTTCTTAGTCATCAGTGCGCTTGTAGTAAGCATGGGTAAATGCCCTTCCCAAATCTTCGTTCGCGAAGTCAAGCCATGATGATGATGATGATGATGATGTCAAAATTCTACGGGACTCAAGGAGGCTGAAAGCCACTGTTGCAGGAGGAACACAGATGTTGCAATTGTTAACATCAGCAGAAATGGACACAAAAGTAAGAGAAGAAACAGAAATATTTTTAATCAATGTCGATATTATAACAGTTTTTATAGTCAAAAGTCATTGTCATCAATTAGTAGTTTCTATTATACCTTTTGTATGCTATAGGAGCTAAGGAACATTTTTTGACTTTTCATGCACTTGAAGTGATGATACTTCTTTTACCTCAAAATGACCAACAGTTATTAACAGCTTCATCAAGCAGTATAATCCAATGCTAACATATACCCACTTTTTACAGTTCATTTCCACCTTTACAACTTCTTAAAGCATCTTTATGACTAACATGAAATGCTTTTTACCATAGCTGATGATGTCCATTAAACTGAAATCACAACAACCTGCACTTAAAGAACTGAAATCACAGATAGTGTTGATAAATCTTTTTCTCCATCAAAAGGAAAGCTTAATCCTTCAAAAGCAAGACATCAGTGATTTTTACCAACTGCTTTAGCAAAACATAGACAAAAGCTCGGAACACTGAGAAATTTCCATCCTATTGAAATCGATGAGATTTACATGTTTAAAATCCATTGTGCATCTGTGCTGTAGCTTTTGAAGCTCCACAGATACGTACTATTTCAATGAAGTAGAACCACAAAAAGCACTTAATGGATGTTAACC